CAAACATACTTTTTATCAAATTTAACACTTTAGTAGATAATCCCAAGTGATTAAACTTGTAAAAAGGGGCTCGCTCAACTGTATCAAAAAGAGCACTAAAGTCCACTAAAGTAAGATTAAAAATGTTGTCTATGGTTGAATAGCCAGTTGTATATCCTGCCTGTAACTCATTTAAAATGTTATTATTTTGTACTCACGAGGTAAGTCTGGGTAAAGTCAATTCGCCAATGAGTTATACGTAATGCGCAATGAAAAGAGGAAAAATACAAAATTTGAATTTTTTATATTGCTTAGATTTGAAGTGGCTCACAGAGCGATATGTTGGTTTCAACTTAAGATAATTCAAGTTTTTGAAAAAAGTAATTTAAATAATATTTAGCGAAATATACAGAAAACCGAATATCTGAACCCGACTTTTGTCTTTTAAATTATCATAACTCTTGTTCTAAGAATTTAGAATGGTTCACTTAGGCGGTTCAAATTAAAGGTATTGATGTCAGCTAATAGCTTAAATAAGTTTTAAAAGAGTAGTGTTTTGAAAATGTCGGAAAACCGACGCGATAATCCTAATAAGATTTTCGTCTTTTAAATCAACATAACTCTTGTTTTATGGGTTTAAAATAGTTAATCTGAGATAAAAATTAAAGATATTGATGGCAGCTATTTACATAAATAATTTTCAAAAAAAGCGCATCTCTAACTAAAAATGTAAGTAATAGAACAGGGTCGATATTTTTTGAAACCAAAAAAAATTATAGTGGAATAAAACCTATTTGCAGATGATGTTGTATTAATCGCAGATAACTTACAAGATACAGTTTCTATGATGCATTCGCGTAAAAGTCTGTCTGAAAGAGCAGGATTAAAGATAAACTTTGAGAAAACTAAAATTATAACAAATCTCGTAATGAGTGGAAATATAACTATTGACAATAATACCATACAACAAACAGACACTTACAAATATCTGGGACATGAAATCAAAATAAGCAGAGACAATCAAACACATGAAATACAGAGGCGAATAGGTCTAACATGGGCAGCATTTGGCAAATTAAGCCATATTCTAAAAAGTTCAATTCCCATGTGTCTCAAGCGAAAGGTTTATAACCAATGTGTTTTACCTGTACAAACTTATGGAGGAGAGACTTTAATACTCACGCAAAAATCTGCGAATAAACTTAGACTTACACAACGAGCCATGGAACGTGCAATGCTGAACGTGAGCCTTCGAGACCACATAAACCAACAAATCAGGCGAAGATCAGGAGTTCAAGACGTCATCGAAAGAACCACGACGCTTAAGTGGAACTGGGCAGGGCACTTAGTCAGAACACAAGATGGACGGTGGACAAGACGTATTATGGAATGGAGGCCCAGAAATTATAAAAGAAGCCGAAGACGGCCACCGACTAAATGGACCGATGACATTAAACGTGTAGCGAGAAACTGGATACAAGCGGCCCATTGTACAGAACACTGGAAAGAACTGAGGGAGGCCTATGTCCAGCAGTGGACGCGATTGGCTGATTGATGATGAAAACCTATTGAAAAAAGAAGAGAATATGCTAAAATTGGAAGAAAAAATAAATTACACTCCATCCGAGGTCGGGAAGTGGGGGGAGGTTAAGAGTAAAAATCGGTCTGACACATACTATGGCAAGTTTTTACCAAATTTCGTAAAAATTTTTTTTTTTAAAGATTAAAGTCAAAAACTTAGTTTTTTTTAATTTGTCCACAAAAATTTTGAGTTTATATGAAAAAGGTGTAAATACAAAAGTTGTAGATCTTTCTGTTAGCTACAACATTGCTATTTATTTTTTTTCCATAGCACTTAATCGCGATAAACCGATTTTTACCCCCCTCCCCCACCCACTTCCCGACCTCGGATGGAGTGTAATTTATTTTTTTTTCCAGTTTTAGCATATTCTCTTCTTTTTTCAATAGGTTTCATTCTACTATAACTTTTTTTACGTTTTATCTTTTTAAAGGCTTCTACACGCGTCTATAAATGTAAACTCAGTAAACGACAAAAAACAGGAAAAAACCGACTTTCCCAACTGCGTTGTACCACTTTACAAATTTTGAAAAAAATTCTGAAACCCAGTTTTAGTAATCATACATCATATAAATTTTATTCGAGCAATCCATACTGTTTTTTTTTTACTTTTCTATAGGCGTTTAAAATTTTCAAACGCTCAAATCAATTTCGAGTTTCCCGCCAACTCTCATTTTCGTTTCAATTATTGTAAGGCACAAAATAAAAAATAACAAAATCAATTTTGGTAAAAAATTAAGGAGTTATGACCAAATAACAATTTTTGACCTTTTATAGAATTTTGTGGTTGTCAAAATTATTTTCCTAAAATTTGCTTCCTAAACTCTTAATTTTTGTGATGTCCAACATTATGTACTTATCCGGCTATGCCCTTTGTTGGAGTTTAGAAGTAGAAGAAAGAGAAGAATATGTAAATATTTATTTTGGAAAAACTTCAGTAATAATAATTGACTTATCTCCCTCTCAGATATGTCGGAGAAGTAAAAAAAATTTAATATTAAAAAATTACTAAAAACATTTATTTTTTTTTTTCACTTTCCTTGCTTCCTCTAACTTTAAAATCATTTAGTTTAAAGCAAATTCGTAACAAAATACAACGGCGAAAAAACATTTTCTATAAGACGCGGCTGATGAAAAATGTCTTGGTTCATTACTCTTGCTGCAAAGTAGCAATAAATACAACAAAAATAGGAGGAAACAAGCCTTTATTATTCAATATTTTTTAAATATTTAGATTAGATTTAGAATAAAACAGCTTACCAAATTTTAATTCGATGTTACCAGAATAGATCCACCTACAAAATGTATTATAAATCACAAATACGCTATAGTTTAGTTATAAATAAATTTATTTATTTATATTTCAGTCGTCAGAGACGAAAATTCTACTGAACCTCTAAAAATTATACAAACAAGCTATATTTCACTGATAATAAAAAAAACATGCAAAAAAGATTACTACTTCTACCTCCCGGCTTCTCCTAAAATGACCCCCTCGTAGGAGGAACACTCAAGAAAAATCGATGTACCAACATAATACGTCGTATGAAAGCTCTAAATTTCTTATGCATTTTTTTCTATAAAAGTGTTTAATAAACGATGCGCGATTTTTGCCATTTTTTACAATTTTTACGAGGTTATTAAAATATATCATTTTTCCATTAATCAATTACTATTATCTCACTTGCCAATGTCAATATCAATGTCATAGATTTGTGTATAAATAATTAATTTTGTGTGAATGTTAAGTAATTTTTTTAAAATTTTAAATATAGGAATAGGTTTTAGCTCAACAGACTGTGATAAATTTTATCAACAATTTTTATTAAATCATTTATGAGACAACCTCATTAAGTTTCTCCCTGATGAAATACATAACCAATGTCCGAAAGCTTGGAATAAAAATTTAAAAGAGTACACCTTTCATTTTTATTGCTGCATACCGAATATTTAAAGTTTACTTATATATATATATATATATATATATATATATATATATATATATATATATATATATATATATATATATATATATATATATATATATATATATAGATCTCATTAGAATCACAAAAAATGGAAAAAATCGCGGAACGTTTATTTGTTTTACAGTTTTAAAGAAATTGACTTTAACTACGGCAAAATCCAAAAGTGTGTAAGAAAGCTAAACTCTTCAAAAAACTCTTTATAATTTTAAGACATTCCTGAGGGCGCCCAAATATAACGAATTCAATTCCATAAAGTACGTTAGATATTTAAAATGCTTATTATGGTTCTTAATGGTCTAGTTTTTGTTGTACAGGAATTTGGAAAATTCATTTTTTTTTAAGTTCAGATTCCAAAATTAAGTTTTAAAATCTATTAAATCGATTTAAGAAAAATTGTATTATAAACATTTTTTAAATGAATTATGAAGGTCATAAGTTAAATCTAAATGCTTTAAAAATATTATATAAAAAAGGCTGGATTACCCCTCTTTTTTTGTATTTTTTGCAATTATTATTTTGCAATAAGAGTAATAAATTAAAACACTTCAACCTAACCATATCTTATATCCTTAATTGTCGCTTTTTTATTTAATAATAACGCTGCTTCAAAATGATTTCTTTTAAAGTTAAAAGCAAAGAAAGTAGAAAACATCCATGTTTTTTAGTTATTTTATAACATATTAATTTTTTAATACTGTTTTCGACCTATTTGAGAGAGAATATAAGTCAATTATTATTACTAAAGATATCACACAACTTTTTCTGCAAAAATCCGAATGCAACCTCCCACATCCAAATATAGTCCTTTTTCCACAGATCCGCCCTGGACTATCATGTCGTCACAATGTAAGCCCCCCAGTTTTTGGAAAAAATAAAAATGTAATAACACAGAATACACCACCAACATATTAAATAATGTATTCTGTGATAATAATATAATGTTCAAAACAAAATCAGTAGCTGCAGAGAGCAATAAAAGAATCCGAATGACTGGTTCAGCAGTATAAAGATTAAGGCACGTAGCAGTTCTACGTGCGAAAAAGGTAGAAGCTGTATTTGGAAGAACTACGTAAATGAAGTACAGCTGGGTAGGACACGTGACATGACAGATCAAAGAAAATTGACAAAAAACATTGAACAATAGAAACCATGAAAAGACAGTTGGAGTGCAGAAAGACCACAAAAATTATTCCTAGACTACATCAAATCAAAAGTAAGGAAAAACCGGAATCAAATAATACAAAACAGAGAAAAGTGAAGACTTTTGGAAAACTTCAAATAACTGAGAAAATTTAATAGTTATTTTATTTTTAAATCCATAAGCCGATAAAATGTTATTAATTAATTGCAATATAGCTTAAAATATTTGTTGGAGTTGACATAAAGAAAAAATTAAAGTTTTACTGCTGCTAATATTTATTTTTTAACTTAATTTGTCTACTTACAATTTTCAGTATTTAATGCTCCTAGTTATGGTTTCCATGATAGCGTGTGCAGTATATCAAATTTTAATTTCACTTTTAAAGACAATCATCTTGTTAGGAGGAATGGCAGGATTTCTAGCGGCTTATTTTATATATATTAAAAACGTAAATTCCATTATTTGCATCTACAGGATTAGGTAAGTCAATGGTAGTATGATATCTTGTTTAGTTTAGTTTTAAACATATTTTATAATAATTATCAAATAACGTGTAAAATCTGCTACATAAAATAATAAATAGTACCTTTAGTGGCCTGGGGTCTATTGAGTTTCCCGCTCTTCCCATCTTTTATATATGTTATATATTATACATACATATATATATATATATATATATATATATATATATATATATATATACATATATATATATATATATATATATATATATATATATAATATATATATTTATATATATATATATATATATATATATATATATATACATATATATATATATATATATATATATATATATATATATATACATATATATAATATATATATATATATATATATTTATGTATATATATATATATATATAATATATATATTTATATATATATATATATATATATATATATATATATATATATACAATACACAAATTTTGTGTGCAGCGGAAGATAGGACAAAGAAGTACATACTTTTTAGTCTACCAAGTTTTTGCAAATCTTTATTTGCATTGTCAGGGTGCTACAATAAACAAAATTATTAGCACAAATTACAGAATGCGAATTATTCTGAGTTTCATATGGGTTCCAAAAATTTGTTTATAATATTTGTTCCTAGAAGAAAAATAAGTGAAATTAAACAAGAACTCTATCATCTCAATAAACATCATAATCGATGCTACTAACTTTCGAAATTTTATTCCAGTGTTTATGAATAGATTTATTTATTTATTTATTTAGCATATAGCTACATCACAGGTTCATATATATATATATATATATATAATATATATATATATATATATATATATATATATATATAAATACATATAATATGAATTATATAAGTTACAAACAATAGTAAATGCAAAAATATTATTCTACAAACAAACATCTAGATTATAAATATATTCGATTGACTCTTTTGTAGCAGCCAGGAAATCTGAAGGGTTGCCGTTATAGGATCTAATCGGGCATTCCTCTACCATGTGTTTTACTGTTTGCCTTTCGGCGCCGCAGTCGCAATTTGGTGATTGTATTTTTCCCCATCTAAAAAGTGAGTCGGAACATCTGCCACAGTTCGTCCTTATTCTATTGAGTGTGGTCCAAATTCGTCTAGGTTGGTTGAAGCCCTCAGGTTTGCTTGTAATACATGGCATGTTCCAGTTAGCTGGTGCAGCGGTATTCTCCCATTGTTCTCTCCACCGTTTAGTTACATTAAAGTTTTGATCTACTAGCCTTTTTACTGTTTTTAGAGGCGGGTGTCTTGAACGGAGCCTATTTATGTCTCTGGCGGAAGTTCCGACATGAGAGCGGAGCTCAGGATCAGTATTGATTTTTGTAAATTCTCTGACAAGGACATGTTCCCGGCGGATGGGTGGTGGAGCTATATGACTCAAAGCTGGTAACCAGTAAGTGGGCGTGGCCTTGATTGTGCCCGATATAGTTCGCATGGCTTGGTTAAGTTGGATGTCAACACGGTGAGTATGTGGACTATTTATCCATACTGGTGCACAGTATTCCGCTACGGGGTATACCAGTCCTAATGCTGTCGATCTAAGTGTGGGTGCTGAGGAGCCTCATGTAGTGCCGCAGAGCTTTTGCAGGATGTTGTTACGAGTTCGGAGTTTTGCAGCAGTCAAGTGTAACACCTAAGTATTTTGGGTGTTTATTATATTTAAGGAGTCTATCCCCAAAATTGATTTAAGGTTGATAGTTGGCCATCTTGTTGTTCAAATGGAAGCAGGACACTTCTGTCTTAGTAGGATTGGGTTGCAATCTCTATTTGCGGAAATAATTCCCTAGGGCATTTAAATCGTTTGTTAGAATGCGTTCAGTGACCTCGAATTCTTTATGACTTGCGGCAAGCGTCCAGTCGTCTGCGTATCCAAACTTTTTTGATGTGGTTTCTGGCATGTCTGCTATGTAGAGGCTGAAAAGCATGGGAGCCAGCCCGGATCCTTGTGGAAGTCCATTATTCAGTTTTCTTTGGGTACTAGTCTTGTCTCCCAATATAACTTTAAAGCATCTGTTGGATAGCATGGTGTTAATAACCTCAGTGGTCTTTCTGCATGGGATTATTCGCATTAATTTATATATTGCCCCTTGTCGCCACACAGTGTCATAAGCAGCAGATAGATCGATGAAAACAGCGGTTGTTTTTTATTGCTTTTGAAAGTTTGATTCCACATAATTGGTCAGGGCGAGTACCTGGTCTGTGCAGCTGCGGTTTGGACGAAATCCTGCCTGTTCCATTGGTAAGTGTTGGAATATGGTTTTGCTGATTCTATTATACAACAGTTTTTCGAACAATTTGTACACCATACTTAAGAGTGCGATGAGGCGGTAGTTTTTCGGTGAATTATTACTTCTCCCTGGTTTTAAAATGGCGACGATTTTTGCATTTTTGAGTTGGTTGGGGACGTTTCCCGTTTGAAGGATATCAGAAAACAATTCTGCGAGTCATTGCCTAGTGAATCTGCCGCTATGTTTGAGGAACTCAGCGTGAATGGCGTCGAAACCCGGCGCTTTTCCTGTTTTCATTTCATTTAGGGCTTGCGATATTTCTTCATGCTTAAATGGGTTGGCGATATTTCTTCATCCTATGAATAGATAGGAGAACGGCATTTAAGTAAACAATACTGAATAGGGAGACAACATTTAAACTTACAAGAACATAATTATGTGGTAAGACAGTTCTGTTAAATAACTCACAAACTTGGAAAGAATCTCCGATGTAGTCATTATTATTCGAATCGTAAGCTTTAGTCAAAATATTGGTGAGAAAGCCTGCAATATGTTCAGTTGGTGAGCCTATGGAGAAAACTATAGGTCTCATAGTTAAGGTAGGTTTATGGATTTTAGGGAGGATGTAGAATTTAGCAACAACACTTTTATATAATGAGAGTCTCTTTTTTTGTACAAATCAATTTGATTGTGTTGTTAAAGGCGTTTTATTAAGGCATTAGTTTTATTTTGAGTATTGCGAGTTGGATAACTAAGCAGGGTTATGTATGATGAATCCTAATCAAGAATCTCTCAAGAAAGTTTAAAGTAATCATCTTTTAACATTACTACGGTAACATTAACTTTGTCAGATTGAGTCACTACTAACTCAGGGTCAGATTTTAGAAATCGTTTGGTTTCTTCAAAGAAACTTTGTAGGGGAGAAGGGGAACTCCTAGGTTTAAACGAGTTCTTAGTGATTATGTTATTCGATCTAGCAATTGCAATATTTCTACAGTCAGAATTTGGAATAAATGATGATCTAAAATCAATATCTGATAAAAGCAGTTTAATAGGAAAATCGGTTCAATGTTTAACTTAGGACCTAACGAGAAAAACTTAATAACGTTTGATAAAATTTCAACTTAGGAGAATTGTATAGAATTATTAGGTCATATCCACCAGGTTTAGGAATTAAGCTCTTAGACACTTTCAATAGATATGACTCCCACATTCAAGTTAAACTTGAAAAAGAGAATCAAAACCAATCTGTTTCTTTTCTCGACACAATGTTCACCATAGAACTGGGTAACATCATTACAATTGATTAGTATAAAAAAACTGTAACTCTGGAAGGTATCTTAATTACCACTCTTACCCCAAGTCAAGCATAAAAATTAATCTAGTAAAACAAATGACCTCAAAAGCTTGTAAACTAGCTGAAAAACACCCTATTTTTAGGAAGGAGAATCTCAACATCCTTTTAAAATTGTTCCTAGATAATTCTTACCCCGAATCCTTACTTAGGAAACTCATCTTTAACACATCATCTGTTATACTCAACACACAAGTAACATTCCCATTCACTGACTTACAATATTCCTACAATATCTTTTGTATCACTTCGATTTATTAGAGACATCTCTCCCAAATTGACCAGAATTTTTGCTTAATACTTACCAAATGTAAAAATTGCTTATAAAAGCACTCTAGTTGTGGGATCTTTGTACAAGTCATGGAAAGATAAAGTACCAAACTCAGATAAAAATGATATTGTTTACAAACTTAGTTGTTAAGGCTATAAAGGTTTTTATATAGGTCACACCTCCCAAAAAGTTTCAAGCAGTTTGACTCTTTACAAGAGTGACATTAGGTTACACCTTGATAGATGTTCCCTAGCCACAGATGCTAAGACAACAGGGCACTCTTTTGATTTTCCCAATATAAGAATCCTATCCACGAAGAGCCATTATTACGTTTTATAAAACAACGTTTATTTATTTATTTACGCCAACGTTTTATAAAACAATAAAACAATTTTGGATAGTTTTGACAGATGATAGATAAAGAACAACTAACTTCAATTAGTGTAAGATACAACGTAACTCTTATTCTGTAATTTGTACTAATTTTGTTTATTGTAGCACCCTGATGATGCCAATAAAGATTTGCGAAAGCTTTGTCAAATATTTGTCTTTTGTCTAACTGATGTGAAATTAGTCTAACTGATCAGCGTTTATTATAAGTGTTTATCGGTTTTTCAGTATATATATATATATATATATATATATATATATATATATATATATATATATATATATATATATATATAACAAAAACGGCTTCAACATATTGTCATATTTTGTTGGGTGATATTAATATAAACATATTGGAAAATAATGAAATAACTAATGCTTACTTAAATAATTTTTCACAACATAACTTTGTTTCTCTTATTAATAAACCAACGAGGCAAAAGAACTGCTTAGATCACATTTTTGTTAAATTTAAATCTGAACAGACAATAAATACTTGCAAAGCAGCTGTCCTAGATACTTGCATTACAGATTATAAAGCAACTTTAATCAGCATACCTGTAAACAGTATCAAATATTTAAAACAGAAAACTAGAGAAATAATTAATTATAAGACCCTAAAAATGGATATCAAAAATTTTGATTGGACTGAGTATTATAATATAAAAAATACGAATGACATAACATTAACAGAATATCTAAT